TCTCTGTGATTAAAGGTGTGAACTATCACTGCCTGAGTGTGCCTTCTTTACCTCCTAAACTCCCCTGTTTCTGGGCCCAGCTTCAGTGTTTCTTCCTCCAGGTGGCTTACTTTCCCTTTAATACCCTAGATAGTAGTCCCCATAAGCAGCAAACCTCCCCCAAATCCTGCTCCCTTCCTCAGTGCTGCCATTAGATAAAGCAAGGTTTCCCCACATCGACACACTCTAGAGCAATATTGTATGTCTTGGGATGCTGCCCAGTATATGGTGTGATGTTTATTCACACCCTTGTGCTGTACCCATCAGCTGCCAGTAGGAGGCTGTGACAATTAATTATCTCCAGATATTTTGAGATGTTTCCTAGGAGATAGTCTTGGGGGTTGAAAACCACCAGAGGAACTAAAGTTTGACTTCTGTCTTCTGTGGACATGACTACTTGTCCCAGTACCTGGAGAAGGATCACTACTTAAGAGATGCTCAACATATCCTGTTTGAATGAGTTAATGAATCTGTTGTAAAAGCAGATACCCGATTTCCATAGCTCAGTTACTTGAGAAACACCTGGGGATCCTTGGAGAAGTCACATTCTTAGGTTCCAATCAGAGAGTAGGATCACAATCTGGGAATATTCATTTTTTTTTTTTTTTTTTTGACAGGGAGACAGGGTTTCTCTGTGGCTTTGGAGCCTATCCTGGCACTGGCTCTGTAGACCAGGCTGGCCTCGAACTCACAGAGATCCGACTGCCTCTGCCTCCCGAGTGCTGGGATTAAAGGTGTGCGCCTTTAAGGGTATAGCATCTATTTCTTCAAAGGAACTGACTTGCTGTGTGACCTAGCATATTTTCTCCCTGGAATGTACCTAAAGGGACTAAAAACAGAGCATGAAACAGATGCTTGGATACAAGCATATATTTGTTCCCCATGGAACATATATTTACTACAGCCTTAAATTAGGAGTCACTCCAGTATCCAAAGACAGATGAATGGCGAAAGGTATGTCCAGGGGTCAGGATGTAGTTCAGTTTGTCTGAGTGCTTGTCTGAAATGCTCAGAGCTCTGAGTTCTATTTCCAAGTGCCACATAAACTGGGTGTAGTGTTACATAGTAGGAACAGGAGGATCAAAAGTTCAAAGTCATGTGTGGGTGGGTACACAGAGAATTCAAGGCCCCCCTAGGCTACATGAGACCTGGTTTCAAAACAAAACAGAAATATATCTATATAACCAAATGGTGTTCAGCCCTAAAAAGGAATAAATTTCTGACATGTACTATGTTATGGCTAGACCTTAAAGGCATTGTTCTATGTGAAGTAGGCCAGACACCAAGGGGAAATGATTCTACCAAGTATGTAGAGACAGAAAATAGAAGAGAATAGGGTTAGGGGAGGGAGCATGGGGAAGTATTTTTTTTTAAATCATGTTTACATTTTGGGATGACAAATATGTTCTGGAGATGGCTAGTGGTGACATTTAGACAGCAATATGAGCGTGCTTTATGCTGCTGAATTTTACACTTAAAACTGTCAATTTATGTTATTTTATATAGAAAGAGAGTCTTCATCCCAGCAAGCTCTGGGAATCAGTAGTGTAGGAATGAGAATGGGAGCCATATGGGTCACATGAGTTCTGTTGTCCCTTTCAAGTCCTTAGCAGCTGGGGTGGGCATGCCTAGCCTAGTTCACCTGCTATGCAGGCTGATTTTCCTAGAGGATTGCCTTTCTATGAGGTTGCGTGTATCAACCACTCTCTGTAGCAACCAGGCAAGTGCACATACAGCTTTATAGAGAGTAGACAGGCATCTAAGAGGGCACCTAGCTGGTGGGGACAGTGTGGTGATATTTTGTTTGTGCTCTAACAAATTAAGCTTGTCTGGAGATTAGAGTTCGAAGCTAACCACTAGTTAACTATAGAGGTCAGGCAGTGGTGGCACACACCTTTAATCCCAGCACTGGGGAAGAGGAAACAAAATGATATGGCTGGGCAGAGAGAGGAAGTGATAAGGCAGGGAGGAGACAGGAGCTATTGGCCCCTTTTCTGCTAAGAAGTCGGTGAGGTAAGAGGTGGCTGTAGCTTGCTCCTTTGTCTGTCTGATCTTTCAGCATTTACCCTCATATCTGGCTCCGTGTTTTTATTATTAAGACGAATTAGAACATGTGCTATTGGACAGCTCAACTGGGTCCTGTTCATAGGGCTACTCTTACCTAGTTCTAGCTGGTTCTTGTCATGTGGGAAGCCTGACTATGGATAAGAAGTCCAGAATCTGGGTTTGTATGCAGAGTGTCCTTGTGTTTAAATATTAGCAACCTGTTTGCCAAAGAGCAGGCAATCAAGCCACATGTGTGTCTAATTGAAGGAACTCTGCAGGGGTATGGTGTCTGGTCGTTTGAAGGAACTCTGCAGGGGTATGGTGTCTGGTCGTTGGCTTCTGGGTGCTCATAGATGTGGGCCCTCCACTGTACCCACCTACTGCAGGATGCTGACTCCAATGTTCTCCTCTGACCTTCTGAACCTTCAAGAGGATCAAACTTCTTGTTATAGACAGGCCAGTGAGAGGCAGGAGCACTGGCATCTTCAAGCTGGGGTCTTAGCTCTGCCATCTGTGAGGTGTGTGGTCCTAAATGACTTCTTTCTTCCATGTACCTTGGAACAAAATAGTTCCTGCTGTGTAGAATAAGAGAAGAAAGAAAGAGGGGGGGAGGGCAGCGAGGGAGGGAGGAAGAAGGGAGGAGTGGGCTCAGGGCAA